CATTGTTGTTTGGCAGGCCTGGGCTGGATTCGAACCCGCCACCTTAGGTGTATGTGGCTGGCGCCTTAGCCACTTGAGCCACAGGTGCCCAGCCTTTATTTTTTATTTTTTTGAGACAGAGCCTCAAGTTGTTACCCTGGGTAGAGTGCTGTTGGCATCACAGCTCACAGCAACCTCCAACTCTTGGGCTCAAGCGAGTCTCCTGCCTCTGCCTCCCAAGTAGCTGGGACTACAGGCGTCTGCCACAACGCTTGGCTATTTTTTGGTTGCAGCTGTCATTGTTGTTTGATGGGCCTGGGCTGGATTCGAACCAGCCAGCTCAGGTATATGTGGCTGGTGCCTTAGCAGCTTGAGCCACAGGCACTGGCCCTTTTATTTTTTTATTTTTTGAGACAGAGTCTCACTATGTCACCCTTGGTAGAGTGCCATGGCATCAGAGCTCACAGCAACCTCAAACTCTTGGGCTTAAGAGATTCTCTTGCCTCAGCCTCCGAACTAGCTGGGACTACAGGTGCCCGTCACAACACCCAGCTATTTTTTGTTGCAGTTCTCATTGTTGTTTAGCAGGCCTGGGCTAGGTTCGAACTCGCCTGCCCTGGTGTAAGTGGTCGGTGCCCTAACCACTGAGCTATGGGCATCGAGCCTGTATGACACCATTTATATGAAATATCCAGAATAGACAAATCCATAGAGACAGAAAGCATATTAGTGACCAGGAAATAGAAGGAAAGGAGAATGGGTAGTGGAGTTCCTTTTTGGGGTGATGAAAAAATTCTAGATAGAGGTGGTGGTTATACAACACTGTGAATGTACTTTCTGACACTAAATTGTACTGCAATTCTAGATTAAATGGTAAATTTTAAGTTATGTGTACTATATATACCACCATATAAAAATGTACAAAGTTGTGAACAACCTTTTGGGTAGAAAGGGAAGATAAGTCCTAGGGAGTGGATCATAAAAACAGAGGTCTCAGGCCAGGCAAGGTGGCTCATGCCTGTAATCCCAGAGCTCTGGGAGGCCAAGGCAGGTGAATTCAAGACTAGCCTGAATAAGAGTGAAATGCTGCCTCTAAAAAAATAGCCAGGTGTTGGCTCGGCGCCTGTGGCTCAAGTGGCTAAGGCGCCAGCCACATACACCTAAGGTGGCGGGTTCGAATCCAGCCCGGACTCGCCAAACAATAATCCAGGAGTGACAAAGTGAGACTCTATCTCAAAAACCAACCAAACAAAAAAAACTCACCTGTACATGAATGTTCACAGAAGTATCATTCACAATAGCCAGAAGAGGAATGTGGGCTAGGCTCAGTGGCTCATACCCGTAATCCTAACACTCTGAGAGGCCAAGATGGGTAGATTGCCTGAGCTCGGGAGTTGGAGACCAGCCTGAGCAAGAATGAGACCTTATCTCCAAAAATAGCTGGACACTGTGGCAGGTGCATATAGTCCCAGCTACTCAGGAGGCTGAGGCAAGAGGATTACTTATTACTTGTGCTCAGGAGTGAGGTTGCTGTGAGCTATGATGCCATGGCATTCTACCAAGGACAACAAAGTGAGACTCTGTCTCAAAAAAAAAGGATGGATAAACAAAATATGGTCCATTCATACTTTGGAATATTAGTCAAAAAAGGAATGAAGCACTGACACATGCTACAATGTGGATGAACCTCAAAAACATCATGCTGAATGAAAGAAGCCAGTCATAAAAGGCCACATATTATATGACACTATTTATTTATTTATTTATTTTTTAATTAATTTTTTTTTTTTTTTTTG